TGAATTCCGCGCTACCGCTCCCTCCCGTTCATTTAACTTTCATACGGTGCTTGTAACCGTGTAATTTCGTTGTTATGATTGCTCGATGGCCCTTAACGTTGCGCCGTTTTAAACAATTTGTCCTTTAACTAGTCGCCCGTCCCCCGTTGCATTTAATATTCAAAATAGTCGCGGAGAGAAAAAAACGCGTTTACGCGCGCTGAACATTCAACCCTTTGTGGACGATGATTACACTCCGCGTTTATTACTTTTTCTTCTTTCTTCGTTGAATTTTATTTTGACCTCGCTCCTTCCTTTTTCCTTTTTTAAGGATGTCACTTTAGAGTAATCGTTTTTATCCCACGCGGAGAGTTATACTCGTCGGCGATTAAACAAAGTCTCGGAATAATAACAACAACAACAATTGCCTCCTGAAAGGCTTGAGTTTTGAAAAAGTGATAAACGTGGTCGCGAGTGAAAAGTATCTCGTTCGCTGAATCTGACACGCGGGATATGAAAATTGTATTAACACGAGAGGTGGTGAAAGAAAGAAAGTTGAATGAGAAAATGTTCGTTTATCCAGCGATCCTAGCAGTATATTGGGCGGTGTACGTTTGCCTCCTGATACGGAGATCATCAAGTACACGTCGAGCATAGTCGGTCCAAAGGTACCTGGCACAACGAACCGCGGAAGGAAGAAGACTATATCCTTAGACACGCCGAGCGTAAGCGTGCATCCGCCACCGGTACCCGCTCTCACTGCTCACCAGACTAACACGACGACCACGTCGTTGATGATGGAACCGAGAAAGTACAATCGCACCGGGGTAATTGTCGTTTTTTTATTTTAGAAACTCTCGACACTTCGACACACTTGTCAATTATCTCGGGATAAATGCAAATGTATGTTTAAACATTTACGAGCTTCGCGAAAGAAAGTTTGCATACACTGTTAACCTTTTCGCTACGGCGGCCTTACTCGCGAATCTGCTACCAGCGGAGGCGCTTGTTTTACCGCGACCTAACCGACCTTACGAGCGCGACTTTTGATAGCTAGTGACGTATTGTCATTTATTAATTCCTTGTTCTAGTCGCAATACATAAAATATAATACAATAATATATACAGATATACTCTGCTCTACCAAAGTTAATGTTAGGTTTTCGTATAGACGTTTATTCACATGGACAATTATATAATTTACATATCACTCTACTTATGTCGAGGCGACGCAGCACTTTACAATACACGTGGTGGTACACGCGTTCTTCTTCTAATTCTTACTGGACGCGCTGCGCACATCACGCGCTCTACGCAGCGCGCAATTCGAAGGCGTTTCAATGTGTGGCAAATCCCTTCAGTTAAGAATCAGTGCGAAATTTTGACGGGTGACTATAGTCATCGCTAGTACCCAGGGAGAGTGAAGCGTCGGATGACTATAGTCACCGCTAGTAACGAAAAGGTTAAAAAAGTGTCGAAACGTAGAATAGCTCTGTAAGTGAAACGTTAAAAAAATCGGTATCTAGGTTTCACTTTCGGACAGCTTAAGAGATGAGAGGTAACGTTGGTTTTCCATTTTCTTGCAGACTGAGTCGAACGATTACAGGGAGTCGGTAGATCGCGTGGAAGTGATCAAATTGCCGGCACACTCGACGAACGGTTCCGTTTTACCAGCGCCATCGTCGTACACGACCACCACCAGTGCGAACAATTCGAACGATTCGGACGCGCCGTTGAATTTGTCGTTGAAACCGGCGACGATGAGCAGTAGCTCGCCGATTTCCGGCAGCCAGCCTCTCAGTCAGCTCAGTAATTTAAGCCAGTCTTTACTCGCCTCTGATCGAACCTGTGAGTACCTCGTTTGCACTCCAAATTTATCGCATTAGAGAGAAAAGTGTCGTTGCATCGATAATTTGAACAAATTTCCTTTTACCATTAACGAAAAATTATTTCGTATATTTTTTATTATTTCTAACTGAAAAGAATCGTGTTAGGAAACTAAATTCCTTAGAAATGTCATTCTTTCATGTTGGCAACGTGTTAAAAAATTCGTAACCCTTTGACAGTCGATCACTTGTAAAAAGTATGTGTCCAAATACGCTCCATCATTTCTTCAATACTAATCTCCCTTTCTAAATTCTCCAAAAAAATTTCAAACGGCATTTTCCAAGATTCGTAAGATTCTTTATTGGTTACACTTGGACGATTCGCGGCCGAGTCCCCATTCACCTTTTTTACACGCACTCACACTTTCGTCCTAATTCGATCGCACGATTAAAATTCTTGCAATCCCGTGGACCGATGCTCAATTAAAATCTCCGATTTGTAAATGCCAGCGAGAAGGAAACCAGGACCGAAACCTCGAAGAGTACCACAGAACTCTGTACCGGTGCCAGCGTCTCCAAGTCCATCGTTAGCGCAGCTGTTCGCAGCGGCAGATTCGCCGCAGCGACCGAGCAGCGGAAGCGAGGAGAGCGAGAGCGCTAGCACGACCCACCACAAAGATGGTCGGCCGAGAAACCTTGGTCGTGGTGTATCCAAACCCAAGAAGAACACCGTGGCCTCGTTACTGGCACAGAGCAGAGCCCTGGGAATCAAACCGACGCCCACATTGGACCCTAGCGTGCCATTGTCTCATCAGGTCTCGTTGCTAAGGTCGAATATTCTAGCTGCTCAGCTGCATGCCACTGGTCAAATCGACGATAAAAACCAGGTAAAGTTCTTCGTGGCGACACGTGTTTTCAGTTCGTTTTCTATTTCATTTGCAAATTCCATCCATCGCGGGTTATCCTTTGATTTTTGTATAAAAAAGAAAGAAGTTCAGTTGAATGAAGTGCGGCATCGTTGACGAAGAAAAGCGAAGATATCGAGCTGCCTGACGAACGCAGATTGCTTTGTTTTTTTCACTTATGATTTGCCACTAAAACCATGCTCCCTATATAGCGGTCTTTGCAGGAGAAGATGAAGAACAAGCTGCTGGAGGTGTCGGGAGAGGAGAGCAACATGGACGTTACCAGCGAGAGCGGCAGTAACACCGACGTTGTGACGGACACTGACGACGACAACGCGGACGGTGTGTCCAGCGCGAAACGGAGGAAGGTGAAGCCGAGTGAAAGGGATCTCCAGGTGCCGCTCGAGCGTGGCTGGAAACGGGAGACCGTCATCAAAGGATTAGGGAAGTCGGGAGTGATAAAGGGTGACGTGTCTTATTATAGTCCTTGCGGGAAAACGTTCAGAAGCAGTCCTGACTTGGCGAAGGTTAGTGCATATCGTTGAAAAATTTATTATATTCACTCTTCCCTTTCGTTTCGTCTCGTTTCTGTTTGTTTTCTATTTTATTTTATCGGAGACATATTTTCTTCCCACGCCAAGATTTTTCTCCCCGTTGTTATTGTGCACGATGGAATTGGATTTTTTAGTTTTTGGAGCATCAGAATCCACCGGAACTGACCACAGCAAATTTCTCCTTCTCGTCCCGTCCGTTGGTGGGCGAGTTTCTGCAGCCAACGATGGGCCTCGCCGAGGCAGAATTCGTGAGGTTGGGCGCCCAGGAAGTGGCGAGGAGACTGGAGGAGCTAAGAGCCGCGGGTGGTTTCAGAGACGTGCGAACGAACAATCAGTACGAGAGGGAGAAGCTCGCGTACGCGAAAAAATTGGCGAAAGAGGAGGCTCAACGGCACAAGGAGCAGGCCAGGTAAAGTAAACGTCGAAAAAATTTGCTGGAAGACAGAGATAAACTCCCTTCGATCTGTTTTTTCAATTTTTTGTAATCTGTTTCGATTTGTTCCTTCGAGCCCGTGTTGAAAAAAGAAAACAAATGGTAAAAAAGAAAAGAGAGAGGGGTGTATATTTAGGTGACAAGTCCCCTTCGTTCGAGAAGCTATTTGGTCCGCGAAAAGGGTTGAATTCTTTCAACGTGTAATAATCACAGATTGATCATGTCCCAATTGCAGGCTGATCAAGGAGCAAGAGAAAACGGAAAGGCAGGAGGCAGTGAGACGGGAGCGGGAGATACGAAATCAACAGTTGCTCGAGGTAAGTTGAACTCTTTCTTAACTCTTCTCTCTATTGACCGTGTTTTATACTTCCTTTTCACGTTTTTTGTCTCGATTCTCGTTGTTTCATTCACAAGGAATCTGTTCTCTTACTCTATTTGGGATACCTACTACGTTTTTTTGTATTTTGTCCACCTGTCGTGCGTGTCGCATGCTCTCTGTGTGTGTCGTATTTATATTATACATATACATATATATATATTTATACATTTATATATACTCCTCCAGTGGATATTCTTGTAACTCCAGACAACTTTTTTATATACTCGCATTTTATATATATATGTGTGTCAACCCTTGAACCACCCATTACGAACTCCAAGAAACCAGAGAAAAAAAAAAGCAAAGAAAGAAAAGAAAAAAAAGAAATAAAACTGTCCCAGGACACACGTGAAACCAAAAAAGAAAAAGAAAAACAACCCCCCGCCCCCCCATAGAACGACCGAGAATCGCTAGCAATAGTGACAGGAGAACCCAGCATGTCCTCCCAGAAAGTCTCTTTCTTCCGATTGACAACCAAAAAAGAACCAGAAACCCTCCCCCTACCCCGATCACCCTAATCGAGAATCAACCCTTTAGCTCTCCCCAAAGTCTTCTTTTCTCTTTTTTAGTTTTGTGTTCGATGCGTTTTCTGTTTCGTTTAACGCCTTTCTCCCACTTTCTTCTTCACGCCAAGTGAGTCGAGAACGTGCTCCTCCTTTACTTTTTCTTCTTTTTTTTTTTTTTTTTTTCGTTCACTTATTTATTTAGTCGTGATTTTCTTTGACCGGAGATCGTTTGTGGCTGCATCTCGCTTCCGGGTCCTCCACGCGGCGAGAATCGACCCGACAGTATTTGGGTTTCATTGATGAGAAACCGCGATGAACCGTGCAGCTTTCATAGAGAGAGAATGGGCGGGAGAAAGTGTACGAGAGAATGGGTGGAAAGAATTGTAGAGAAAATCGAGACTACGATGGTACATCGCGGATGAAATTTCGTAGAGTTCGTTGAACGCTTGAGATGATTTAGATAGAATGATGTTTCGAGGATTTTCTACGGCAGAATGTAGAGTTAAGGTAGAGAGTGATTACAAATATATACCGGAATCGAACAATGTTGCTCTTGACAAATAACGATCGGAGCATCCGATGTTCATCATGGTCTCGAGGTTTTCAGTGGAAAATAATCGTTCCACCGACGAGTCACGATAGTCTGCTCGAGATATGTTTCCATAGTCGTATGCGTGAACTCGATGATGCATAGTTTCCCGGTGCTTTTTGTGTGCGCTGTGTAGACAGTCTCAAAGTATATATTTATCTCTCTCTTTACATATAATCGGTCTTTGTCGTGGTATAGTTTGTCCTCACCTGAACATTCACATAGAATGACGACGGAATGATCGTGTGAGAAGTTAGATTGATCGGTTTTAGAACCAGATAAACATACCATTTAGATTAGAAAATTCTTTCTATGCTCTTATCGAGTACCTTACCGCTGTTCCAGCCGTGTGCACTTCGATTTCTCCTTTTCATTTCAAACGTAAAGATTCGCGTTGACGTTTCATCTCGGTGCTGCTTTTTCTTATCGTTAGATCGAAAGTTTCGAAAAGACTACAAAGAAAATCGGCGTGTACACGGTCTCGGGAGCGTTAAAGGGACGCGCGTTTCACCCGGAAAACCTCTCCGCTTGCTCGTCTTAACGTGACGCGTGCAGGAGACGAAGTTTCTTTCCCGTTGGTCGAGCACCGCGAAAAGGGAAGATTCGTCGCACGAGAAATCGAGTTTACGATCTCGCGAAACGTCCACGTGCACGTTCTCTCGCGCAAGCGGAACCGTTTTCCCGTGGACATTTTCCGCAGCGAATAGAATATGCGCGAGTGTAGCAACTTTAATAGCCCATCCATTGTGATAGTTCTCCAGAGAAAACATCCATAGTGTAACGGAACATCCCCCTGATCGCCTAAGGAAAGCGAGACACACCATCTCCTTTTGACCACAAGACCTAAAAAGAAAACGAACCAAACCTAAGATTTCAATCACTCTCGTCACACTCGTTCGCTCATTCGTTCCCTTCATGTTCACATGCATCCACCTTCACACGCACTGTACATCACAATACGTGTCCGCCTGGTCCCTTGAAAATTTGAGTAAAAGAAAAACTTACACGCAACACGCAGAGCGAAAATTTGTTCGAGGGGAAATAGAAAGAAACGTCAGCCGAAAAAGGAGAAGTGATAGCAAAGACAAAACAAAAAAACAAAACAAAAAAAAAAAGAAACTATTAATTGGAACGCGATAAATAGGGATGCCCAAAGAGTTCCACTTAATAATCGATCTTAAGAATCGTAATCATTCCCACCGGTGATTCATTTATTCCATCATCGTGTAACAAAAAACACAACGAATTTGTTTTGTTCAAAGATACACACGGTATCCGGTATCGAGCCCCTTAGTTTGTTCTGTTGCAACTTTCAGTTGGTTGCGAAGCTCGAAAAAGGCTCAGCCTATCCTCTTCACAGAGAGACAACCACGTTCGAAATCCAACAACCACCACCACCACCACCACCTATCACTACCACCACCACGATCACAACCAAAATCATTCACCCAAGTTGCTCAAATCAATCGTTCACGAACGTCCTCCTCGAACGAAGGACGGGCCACCGTCGAAAAGAGCGACGGGTGTTGTCACTCGCACGCGTACCACCACCATCACCACTACCATCACCACCACTATCACCACCATCACGTTGTAATCACGTTACGTCGCCGATTAACACGATCGATTATTGGGCATCCCTAAACCTACAAACGCAGGGTCGAAAGCGGCTAGCGTTCACGATCAAGCAGAAAATGAAGATCATCCAAGAGATCGAACGCGGTAAGAGCAAGAGCGACGTGGCACGCGAGCTGGGTCTGGCTAGCAGTACTGTGGCCACAATCTGGAAAAATCGGGAGAGCATCGCTGAGAGTTGGAGAAATCGCGACATGATGCAGCACACCGATACCGAGGATACTCTCGCGAAAAAATCATCCTCGATCTCGTCCGCGAGTCTGGCATCTGTCACGCCGTTAGTGACGAACAGCAACACGGTGTTAAGCACCGCGAGCACCACCAGCTGTACCACCAACACCACTTTACCCGCCGCTGTCGTGGTGGCACAGCCGCCACAGGTTCAGGTGGTACCACCGCCTCCGCCACCTCCACCGCCGCCGTTGCCGCCACCTCTCCCAATGCCGACTACCTCCGTCACGGTTCTTCCATCGTCAACGTCCTCCACGCAGCCGATCGCGCCAACCTCCAGCACCACGTCCACAGGCACCACAACTACCAACAGCATGGACAATACCCAGCAGGCCCAGACCCAGACGCAAAGTCAGGAGCTTCTGGAGGTAAGATGTCGTATGACGCCTCCCCCAAAAAACCCTTGAAAAAAATTTGCCCTCTGACTCTACCCCCTCTTCGTTCATTCCCCATGAGGAGAAACCTGACGCAAACGCGAGTCGTCCTCGAGGTTTTTTTTGGTCATTGTTAGGGGCGAGGATTCACGGTGGAGCGAAACAGTGCTGTTTAAAGTATACACGTATGTTTGATATAGTTTCTATAGAGAGTTGTCGAAGGATTTTCTTGGTTGGAAGTTACATACATAGATGGAATTCTTGTTCGATCGAGAGAACCTTACGACGATATATTATGTATGTGTTCAATTATACAGTATATGTAGGTTGGACGATCACAAGTGACTATTTTTTTCGGAAGTTTCGAACAAGAATTTCGAAGTGATATTTTTGGGACTCTCTGGTAAACAGCATTGTGTAACGAAGCTACGTCGGTACATGGAAATTCTCCAGGGAAACATGATCTAGAGAGAGTGTTTCGCCCGAGACGAGACGCATCTCTATGTGAATAATGTAACGATAAGGAGGATGCGTGGTTAATGGGAGGAATTTAATCGTCGAGCGCGAAATTACTTTCTAACAGAGCGTTCCCCGAAGAAGTTCTTTCCCCGAAGCCGGCTTCCGGCTCCGCCGCCATTCTTTCCGCGAATCCTTTGTCCATTAGTTGCACTCTCGATTAATTGCTTTCGAGGAATCCACCGTCTCTCACCTTTGCCTCCACGTGATATATATGTATATCTATATATATATATATCCATCCCTCTTTCTCATTCTGAAATGCATTCTATGATCCTACATCATCATTAAACCTTCATCGACTTCATGTTCACTAATGAGCGTTACCGTCGTCCTTGCGATTCGTTCGTCCATACTCCACCACCGCCCCCATTTTTTTTCTCCTTTTTCCTTGTTAATTTTTTCTCTTCCGGTTTGCACGAGGACCCAGACGAAGGACCTCTCGAGGTAAGACTACGATTGCCTGGTTTTCTATGTCGTCCTTCCATTTTCTTATTTCTCTCTCTCTCTCTCTCTCTCTCTCTCTTTCTCTCTCTCTCTCTACGATTGAAAAAATATCGTTCCAACTACCCCGCCTCTATTACTGTGTCCAAAGATTATCCCTATACGATCACGTTAACCCCTTGAATTGCTTAGATTAAGTGTATTAATCACGTCGATGTGACGACCAGAGGTAAGATATTAATAAAACTCCCGTCCAATTTTATTAGAACGTTTCTCTGTCATGCCAAGTTTTGTATCAACGGCGCGCGCGAGATCATACCGTCGCGTAATTTTCCGTTCTTCTTCTTCCCACCCCACCACTCACTTCAATCGTTTGCATCCTCATTTTCACATCGACATCGATCTTTTTTTTTTCTTTCGTTTCGTTTCTTCTGTTCTCTTCATATCATTGACCTTCTTTATTTTTTTTTTTTTCATTTCATTTCTATCGCCAATTTTTATACGTGTCTCTCCCCCGGTTAACAGATCCGGCATTTTGTTTTTCGATGCTCTATTTTTTTTTTCTCCTAATGGTCATTCTCTCTCTCTCTCTCGTGTCAGGTTTTGTATCCACGAGTTTTACTCTTAATTTTCTCTGCCGCGTGTGCTGGTTGACATGTTCTCTTCGCTTCTCTATTTCGTTTCCTCCTCGTAGTGTTCTGCATTCTAACGGCTCGAGATCTCGTCGGGGTTCCTTTATCGTTTTTTTTTTTTTACTCTTTCTCCGATTTTCTCCGGTGCGTAACAAGTGTTTGCGCGGGAATATTCGAACGCCTCCGCCTTACGCCGCCCACGCGTCGCGTACGCTGCGGTACTGTAGAGAAAAAAGAAAGAAAAGAATCGATGGGTTTTAACACGCGACACGTCGTGTCGTCTGTTTCGCGTCGAGCCGTCAAACTTTGCCCAACGCTCGTTGACTCGTTGTCGAGCGGCCTCCTTTTTTTATGTTTCTGATCGCAACCGCGGTCGCGTGCGTTATCCACGAAAAGTTTTTACCACGGCTGAAAATTTTCGGAAGGGCTCGTTTGAAGGGCCTTTCCCTCGAGATTTTTCCAACGGCGTAACGAGGCAAAAAGTTGCGATGGTTGAAGGTTATACGAACACACAGGTACACACGAGCGCACCAGTAGCCACGTTATAAAATACCTGTGCATCACGTAGCGATCGAACGAAAGAGGACGACACACCACACGACACACACACACGCGCACACAAACACAGACACACATGCACGCGCGCGGGCGCGCGCGTGCCTAGATGCACACACGGTGCTTTTGTAGGGTCAGACACGCCGGGTGATAACAATATCGACATCCCTGGCACACGCCAAATTGAGTCCGTTTTTCTTTTTTTTTTTTTTTTTTTTTTTTTTTTAAACGAAAAA